ATATGTGATTTTCTTGGACATTTTTTACTCCTTCAAGACCTATACTACCAATTCTTAACTATTTTAACTTTGATTATAATTCAATAGACTCCTAATACAATTCAACTAGGACTTGATTTTGTCTTAGAAAATTGCCAATTAAAATTTGATCTTAACAATTTCCTCCTTTGATATTCCGTGACAAAATCATTAATTTCAAAGTCAAAAGTACACTACAATCTATCTAATACACGCTTTCCAAACTACACTTCAGCAACTTGTCAACCTATTTCCTAAAACACATGGAAACCACAATACCATGTGAAACGCAAGAGGAAATTACCAAAATCAAAATCATATAACTAAATTAAATAAAACAACATAATAAAATGTGTAATACCAAATCACGTAATATGACATGAATTATAAACTTAAAAATAAGCCATATAATTTATATTAATATAGACAAAACACAATACTATATCAATAATGGAATTCCAATAAATATATCAAATGACACCCCCTAAGTCAACTGTCAATCAAACATTTCAAATTTTTAAAATTCTCCCCCTAACACATATAATCATCTATCTGAAATAAATACATATATCTCCCCCTTTTTGTCACGAATAAGAAGGAAAGACAAATAATAATCATATAAAATACATAGAGAAATGAGTAAAAAAAATATGCACATATATAATGGCAAAATGATTATGCAAAAACATTTGGTAGGAGGATAAAAAATTTTCAATTTTGAGATCAACTTTTTTTTTCATGGATTTTCATCTTGAATAGTTATTTACTTACTTATACATGCATAGTTCATAAAAAAAAAAAAAAAAAATCTTTTTCCACAAATTATTTTAAACCAAAATGGAGTAAATTGTATAAGCTACATATGTGTGATAAGTGCTATTAAACTCCTGTAAGCAAATCTCAACATCTTAAATCACTGAGAAATGACAAACAAAAATCACTAGTGAATGAATATATCCTTCAACTTATGAAAACCCAGTGTTATTAGAACCTTTTAAGCTCATATTGATTTTTCAATGTGTAAATTTTCTTTATCCCCCTATCAATAAGTACATATATATATTTTTTTTCTCTCATTTTTCTTTTATATCTTATGTACAATCTCTTCGCCATCAAATTGTTAAAATGACCCATGTAACAAGATTTGGACTGATGACTCCAAGTCAGTTGACTATAAGGCAATAGGTTATGAGACCCCATCACGTTTAATTGCTCAAGTCAAATAGGTTTCGAAGAAGAGTATAAAATGAATTTCATTTTTTATATATTTCAAAAGTTTTGAATCTCGGTCATATTTTTCTTTTAAGGGGAATATACTAGAGCTTTAGATCAATCTAGTTGAATGTCATTCCATATTTAAAGTCAATTCACCACACAAATTATCGCTATCCCAAATCTCAAACATGTGGTCAAAACCTACTCATAAGAGTCTAATGTGTGCATGATACGTGTAATAACCAATGCCAAGTACTCCAAATAAGGTCTAAACATATTAATGAAAATTTAATTTACTGATCATGAAACATACTAGTAATTGATAACAAAATAAAATGTCCAATAAACAATTCCCTTTTTTCAATTTTTTTTTTTACATTTTTTAAACAATAAATAATCACACAAAAAAAAAATAATAAATAACAACAACAAACAAACAATATATAGTGCATGCATGAATACTATCATGAATAAAGCAGATGCATGCACTTAAATGCCTAATCAATAAGGCAAAGTGAATCTCTTATCTTAAAGATCAACGCGAGCAATATTGCAACTATAATCATCACTTCGATCTAAAAGTTCACTCTTTTCAACCCAAACATTCTTAGATGAAGATATAATTTTAGTCAATTGAGTTATTAACTCGGTCAAGTGACTCACTTGATTAGTCATGAATCTAACATGAGCAGTTCGCTCTTGTTTGTATCACCTAATTAAGTACTTATGACAATTAGGTCTAATGTGACCTAACTCACCACAATTATGACAAGTGGAAACAAATTTGGGAGCAAACATGGATTTCAAATTTTGAACCTTAGGTAGAGGAAACCTATGTTGTTCATATGATTTCGGTCTTCAGGACACCTACATTCTTAGTCTTATTCATACTTAAGAGCTCGTGACACATAGGTCTTATGTGCCCTAACTTACCACAGTGGTGACATGTGGGGATAACCTTAGGAGCAACTCTAGGTTTCAAGTTTTGTATCTTAGGCTTGATCAAGGCAGGTACAAACTTATTTTTAGTAGAGGAAATGGTATAATAATTTGTTCATCATGTCTTAAATCTCATCTTGTCCCATCTATTTTGTTCAGACATATCGTGTTATCAATCTTCTTAGATCCAAAATGTTTAGCATTATACAGCCACCGAACTTTAAACATTTCTAATTAGCCACTAAAATTATTACATCGTTAGATCATACTTCACTCCATCATTAACCGTTAAAAAATAGACAAAATAGATTGACATTGATAACATATATTCACACGTGACACATTTGACCATTAGTTTTCACCTGCTACAAAAGTTCACTACCTGTTCATAAACGTTACGCAAAATGCAGTGCTAAATGAAACACACTGTGGAAAGTACGTACAATGGCTAATGGGGTACTAATCTAATAGTTTTACTCTATTATATTTTATCTAGTGTTTTCAATGTAATTAAATGAGATAATGGTAACATAATTATGAAAAGTAACGAATTTCTAATAATTTTGACAAATTTAATTACCAATTCAAGTTTTGTAGTACACTACGATGAGGTCAATATAAGAATCTTGATTTGAGTTGAGATGATTTGTAATCACGAGATGAGTTGTTAAAAAAAATAAAAAATAATGAAACTTAAAAACAATGAAATTTATTTGGTAGAGATTAAAATTAAGATTTTAATTTAATTCAAAATCAACAATTAAATTTAACCACACATTTTATGGACTCCACAACTTTTGAAACACATATTTCATTTAGAGAGCATTTATAAATTTAGAGAGTTCAACAAACTCTTTATATTTAACACATAATTTTACTACTCCAAAAAAATATTTTTTATTTTAACTAGTTTTTATTTAGATTATTTTATTATTTTCTCACATTGAAAATTGAAACACTTTGAATGCATTTAATCATAGAGAGTATGTTTGACTCTCTAAATTAAAATGTTAATTTTAAGAGTCTTTTGGAACATCATTTTAAATGTTGACTTTTTAAAATAGAGATCATCTCATATAGAGTCTCTTGTAGATACTCTAAATTTGGAGAGTCAAACTCACTCTCTATAATTAAATGTATTCAAAGTGTTTCAATTTTCAATGTAGGAAAACAATAAAATATTATAAATAAAAACTAGTTAAAATAAAAGATGAAAAAAATAATAAATATTTTTTGGGAGTAGTAAAATTAAGTATTCAATATAAAGAACTTGTAGGAGTACTTCAAAATTTCAGCTCTTTAAAAATATAGAATCCCTTGGAGATGCTCTAATGGATGTAAATGAAATTATCAAATTAAAACAAATAGTTATCTTCAATATACAACCAACTGTAACAAAAAGGAAGTTTAGTGGTCTATATGAAATTTCTCAAAATATTCACTCATAATCAGTAATTAAAAGTCCTTGGCAACTTCTAGATGCGTATGTCGACAAACCTGTTCATATTCTTCACACGTTGTCATCCGCAATTTTGCATGTTAATTGTTCTGACTGAAAACATAATATTTATTATTTTTCACTAAAAAATAATGCATATATTATCTTTCCAATATATTTGGAGTAAAAATGAGTTCGGCTTCATGAAATTTTTTCGTCTCTCCTTTCTTTATTGCTAGATCTGTCGGAATTTGGTGAAGATGAGATAATGTTAGCTTCATTTTTAAAAGAACACTTGTATATGTACAGAAGAAAAAAAAATGGAAACTATACAGAATACACACATGGGGTGGGCCCCATTTTTTGGTAATATTTAATTCATGAGTATCTGTATGGTTTCTAGCAAGGAATTTTATGTACAAGCAGAAGATTTCTTTTTAAAATTGTTCTCTTTCTGTCCTTATTATTTATTATTTCATATTTGCATCTTTTATTTTTGATGGCTTTAGGGCCTTCGATGCAATTTAAAATAACTTGTCAAATAGGTTTGGTTTATTTGAAATTGAAACTGCAGAGGCACGGTATTTTATGTTAGACTTTGTTTTGAATGAGAAAAATACATTGAGAGAATTTTTTTTCCCAATTTTATTATGAATAGGTATTTACTAAATCAACGACTTATAAATCGCATGATTTTCTTCTAGCCTTAAAGCTTCCGTAACATTAGTATTCAAAATAGTTAGATCCAATTCGTTGTACAAGTATGAGATTCATAAAGTATTAAATAAT